CATTTACAATGTCCAAAGACAAGAATGATGTCCTTAAACATAAGGATATAACTTCCCCCCATCCTGGCATTTCTTTCAGGATAAGCATCTCTTCTTGAAAAATAAGGATTAATTACTGACCTGCTGTGCTCACCTTGTGACCACTGACCTGCTGACCAGCGACCTGCTGTGCCAGCTAAGCATCTCATGACAGGTGTACAAGGGACATTCCTGTCATATGTGATGTATATGCTCTTTGCTCCAAGACAGTATATAACCACTCTGTACACCCCACTTCTTTGGTGCCCTTCCTTCCTTGGGGAAGGAAGATCCCAGGCTAGTCCTCAGATCTGGCTCCTAATAAATGCTCCCCAATTTTGATTTATAGATTGATTATGGATTATTTGTGTCAACAAAATATATAAAGAGAAACCTGACAGAATGACAGGAAGAAATGTACAAATCTAAATCACCCTTGGAGATTTTAACACATCTCTTTCAAGAACTGACAGGAGAATTTTTTTTTTTAAGTAATGCTATAGGGGCCAGCCCTGTGATGTAGCAGTTAAGTTCAGCGCATTCTACTTCAGCAGCCTGGGTTTGCAGGTTCAAATCTCAGGTATGGACCTACACCACTCATCAGCCCTGCTGTGGTGGCAACCCACGTATACAGTGGAGAAAGACTGGCACAGATGTTAGCTCAGGGCTAATCTTCCTCAGCAAAAAAAAAAAAAACAAAACACACACACACACACACAAAAAAGTAATGCTATAGAGGACTTGAATAACAAAATCAACAAATGTCACCTAATGGACACCTAACAGAACACCGTATACTAAACAAATGCAAAATTCACATTCTTCTCAAGCACACATAAAATATTTACAAAAATTGACCTAATGCGGGGCTATGAAGACACAATAAATTTCAGATTTGATTTAATACAATATAGCATATGTTTTCCCATCACAATAAAAATTAACAAATAAGAAAGATAACCAGAAAGTTTCCATATGTCTGGAAACAGAAAACGAATTTACAAAAGACGATCAAATTTAAATGCTGGATCTCGAAAAGATAAAAATTTGACAACCCTCAGGTAAGACTGATTAACAAAAATAAAAGAGGACATTATTATAAATCCTGCAGACATTAAAAAGGAGATACTGTACACAACTTTATGTCAGTAAGTTTGCAGACTTGGATAAAAAGGGAAAATTACTAAAAAAAAAAATCTCACAGAGCTGATTCAAGAAGAAAGAGAAAGTTTTCAGAGTCCTATAACTATTAAAGAGACTGAATTAATGGTCAAAACTTTTCCCACAAAGAAATCTCCAGGCCCACATAGCTTCAACTGCAGGTTCTACCACATATTCAAGGAAAAAAAAATAATTGCAATGTTACATAATCTGTTCCAGAGAATATAAATGAGAGCACACTCCTTGATTCCTTTTATAAGCCTACATAACCCTGATCCCAACTCTAATAAGACTATCTCAAGAATGAAAAATTACCGGCCAGTCTCATTTATGAACATACAAGGAAAAAGTCTAAACAAAATTTATCATACAATAACCAGAAAAGAATTATATATATTTCTGTATACTACAGAATTATGAAAGTTTGTGTTGAAAATCCAAACGAATCTAGACAAATTTTTAGATTTAATAAATTTGCCAACATCATGAAATACTGGAAAAAATGTCAAAACTCTCCAAATTGATAGATTTAATGATTCTAATCAAAATGCCAATAAGTTTTTCACAAAATTTGACAAGGTAATTCTAAAATGCATACAGAAATATAAAAGGGTCAAAAATAGCCAAAATAGGGGCCAGCCCGGTGACGCAGTAGTTAAGTTCACATGTTCCACTTCTGCAGTCCGGGGTTTGCCAGTTTGGATTCTGGGTGCGGACCTACACACTGCTTATCAAGCCATGCTGTGGTAGGCGTCCCACATATAAAGTAGAGGAAGATGGGCATGGATGTTAGCTCAGGGCCAATCTTCCACAGCAGAAAGAGGAGGATTGGTGGCGGATGTGTGCTCAGGGCTAATCTTCCTCAAAAGAAAAAAAAGAAAAAAAATAGCCAAAATACTCTTAACATGACAAAATGAAATAAAAAAACAGGCAGATTTGCACCTACGTTTTATGACATTAATGCTATGGCAATTAAGTTAGTGTAGTAGTAGCTGAGGGATCAATAAATAAAGCAATTAAATCGAACAAAAATCAGACCCTGTTAATGCGGACATTTGACTTATGACAAAAGTAGCAGTATAAAGTACTAGGAAAAGGACAGACTTTTCAATAAATGCTGTTCTGACAACTGAGTATCCATATGCAAGAAAAAAGGAAGGAAGGACGGACAGAAAAGAAAACAGATTCGTATCTCACACTAATAAGCAAAAATCAAGTAAGGTAGGTAAAAGACCTAAGTGTGGCCTATTTTTTATTAAAAAAAATAAAGGTTCCAGAAAATAACACAAGAAATTATTGGGGGTGTGGAAAGATCTCTTAAACAGGACACAAAAAAGGCATTAATCATAAAGGAAAATATAGATAGAATACATTACATAAAAAGTAACAACCTCTCTTTGTAATAAAAAAAAAAAAAACCCAAAAAACAGCAGAGAGAATAAGACGCCAGGCAGGTCACAGAGGGAGAAAGTTACCTGATCACAGTGTCAGAAACTGAAGGGGCTGGTATCTCATGCTGCCGGCAAGTAACAAGCTTGCCAGCTTCACGGATGCTGGCAGAAGACAGAGACTCCCGAATGAGAAACCAGGGACAGCTAGTTTCTCACAACAATAAAGCAGCCAAGGCAAACAAGGTTTGACTGCCCTGTATCCCGCGGATGTGCGGACACAGACGGCACTCAGCAAGTACTTCTGGAAAGGACGAAGGGCCAGGGAGCACCCTCGCATCCTCGCTCTCCCTTCTCTAAGGAGAGTCTTCCTCCCCACGCACAGGCAGGGCAGGCACTTGGTGGAGTGAACAGTCGAAGACTCTCCACCTACTTATTCAAGCCTCTGCAAACAGGAGAGAAGGAGCAGCACCTACACAGTTGATGAATGGCATCCATCGTCACCAGTTTTACTAACTATGGAGCCAGAGTGGAAAAGCCACCCTTTAGGAGCATCCCCACTTCTCGCGTCCTCGCAGACCTGCCTGGGCTCTGGCTCAGCGGGGCCTACCCCTTCGTCTCTTAACCATGCTTCCATGCAGAGGACAGAGGCGGAGGGCTCTTACTTTCTGTCTGTCTAACTGCTGGGTGGTGAGCTGACTGAGTCCCGAGATTTAGATGGGACTGAAACACAGGCCTGCACTTGGGGCTCAGGGCCAAAGGCTGCTCCTCAATTTAGCTCCATCAGCAGTGCCTGGTGGGGTTCAGGGGACAGCTAACAGGAAGAACTGGATCGTCAAATCAGGCTCTCCTGAAGCAGAGACCTCACCCTCTACCAAGCTTCACTAACATTTCAAGTATATAAGCAACCAAGTGACACGAGGGAAGCAGGGACAGCACTGCGGCTTCCCGCAAGTCTCGTTTGCAGCTTAGGTCTTCCAGCCCAGAGTAATCGACGAGTTCTCTAAGCAAGGTTCATAGTCAGCTCACATGGGAGAGCGCATTTAGGCCACGTCAATCTCCAACATACTCTAGGAAGTCGAACAGCTTATAGGACATTCTCCAGGAAGCCAGGCCTCACCATTCTGCAGATTCTGGGCTGTGTTTACCCGAGGTGATCCTAACCAGGGACATCCTGCACAAAGCATGCCACAAGTAATTCTCCTCTTAGCAAAATGCCTCCGCCTATTTACCACAGAGGTCAGCTAGCAACACATTTAACTGGATCATCTGCCTTCTTTCTTTCGTGGGAGTGTCACCCTGGAAATGAGAAGGGAAATGGATCCCAGGCCAGCCGCCAACTCCTTCCCCAAAGAATAATCACACTCTTGCCCAGACCATTAAAAAAGATGACGTTTTCATCTCCATTACAATATGTTTTTGTAACTATTTCTTGCATTAATGAGATTCTATCATTAGAAAGAACAGTTTTTGATATTTCTAACTACCTGAATAAATGAATGAGTGATTTACTATAATACAGCCATTTGAAAAGCATGTTTTCAAAGACAATTTAATAATTAAAATGTTCATAATAAATGAAGTGGAAAAAATATCAAGTTGTATCACTATGATTTCTATTATTGTAAATACTATATGCAGTGAAGGGAAATAAGTCAGTGTAAGTTTCTTTTAATGAACTGCTTATTTTCTTCTTTATATTTCTTTGTATATTTCAAATGCTTTACGAGATATTACTTTCATGATTAGGAAAAACTATTAGAAAAATATCTTCAGCTTAAAAGTTTCTCTGCTGCTTATTCTGTAAATATACCATCTTACACTCACACCCCACCCTTAACCTGAGCAAAGTCAGCTGCCCCTCTTCTTGCTCCCTCTGTAGCCACACTACCCCTGTTACCATCTCCTTACCACACTCTATGATAACTGCCCTGAGGACCCTGAGAACAAGGATCCTTCTGTACATATTTTAGTATCTGCAGTACCTAGCAAAATTCCTGACATAAAGTAGATCCTTATTAAATGTTGGATAAAGTAATAAATGCTAATAAAATCTTATTTTCAAGATTGTATTTCATATTGTCAATCCACACCTGAGACATATTCTTATGACTGAAAATACAACTGCTACAAACTACAGCTTTGGATGTCTCTTCAGGCGTCACAATTTCACTTATGTGGATTATTTCGATCTGTAAACTTTTATTGAAAAGTATGTCCTTTGCCCAAATGAATTACGGATTTTTAATCTCAGAACCTCTGACTCTTGCCACTTAAAGAAAAAGGAAGAAAGAAGAGGAGGAGAATTAGCAGTGTAGTATTCATAGTGGCTTGCTTTTGTTTTCTGGATTCCACACGTATGACTTAGCATATCACGAAAGTATGAAAAGTTAACTGAATTAATTGAACTTTAAAAAGAAGATACACACATACCTGAAACAGTGGTGGAAATCTTTCATTCTAAGAGAGCTACATGTCCAAAGATTATTCTTCCAATATGAACACATCAACTTCTGGTCACCAATGATGAAAGAGGAAGGCCATGCCTCACAGTCAGGAGGTAACCCCTATCTCAGCTGGAGAACACGACAGAAGAGATGGGGATTTGTTTTCTAATGTTTCCTTTAAAACACAATTCTTGCTGTTATAGTACCACTTTTGAGGGATTGTTATCTGGGTGATTTATACAAATTTTCAAAATGTTACCAAATAACCTAAGGTTCCTTTTTCAATGAGTTCACAAATTGGATTGCACTTGTCAAGTAGAAGGAAAACCAGAAGGGGTATTTTATATGTGATTGATTTCCTCTGAGGAAATGGATGACATGATACATCACTGCAATAAGATACCTATATTATTGTCATAAATCATATTCTTCAGTTCGAGCTTTCCCATCTAAAAATCATGTAAACTTCTCTTGCACAAACATCATGGCTGCTTTCTAAAAACACTAGATGCTTATCATTTTCAGCATATTTTCCCACTCTGTTTTTCTTAATATAGTTAAATAAAAATGAGGCAAGAGAATCTGACTGGAGTAAGTACATACATAGTATGTAAGAGAAACGACTGATCTCAGAAATTACTTTGAGAAATGATAATAAAGGTATACTTTCAAATGATACTCCACTAATAGAACTGGCTTATGCTCAATTCTTCCACGTGTTCTTACCCCATGTTCTCCCTCACCTTCTGCATAGAGTTTTGGGGACAGATGTTTGAGAGAGCTACATACAACTCATACCTTCATGCTTTATAAATTTAATAGAAGATTCCAATTTTTCCACCTTTGTATGGATTAAATCCAAAGTCCTCAGTAAGTGTACAAAGAACTCACATGCTTTGGGACTTTTCTCCTGTTGTCACTGTGTCTTCCAATAAACTTTTCATGCTAAAAAAAAATCAGGATGGATTACCACTTTCATGACTATGTATAACTCTATACATTTTTTTTTTTCCGGTGAGGAACATTGGCTCTGAGCAGACATCTGTTGCCAATCTTCCTCTTTTTGCTTGAAGAAGATTATCACTGAGCTAACATCTGTGCCAATCATCCTCTATTTTATGTTGTATGCCATCACAGCGTGGCTTGACGAGCAGTACTACGTCCACACCTGGGATCCGAACCTGTGAATTCTGGGCCACCGAAGGAGAGCACGTAAACTTAACCACTATGCCACCAGGCTGGCCCCATAAATTAATTTTTTAAAGAATTCTAAAAAGACTATTACCTATCTACTAACATTACTCCTTTTAAAAAATTTAACATCAAGAAACTTCTATTAAATAAAGTATCGATTGTCATTTAAGTATCACATTCATAATATTGCAAGGTTAATATTTGCTTTTAGTATTGTGTTTTCAAAATCTGAAATTCTGAACACTCCGCAGCCTTCCTCCTTGATGTGAGCAGAAATGATTTCCAGTAAGGACACAAACACACAGCCATGGCGGGCAGAGGGCGCCTCTGAACACCACGATCAGCAGACATGCAGGCACAAGTCTTGCCTCCCACAAAACAGCACTGTCGGAAGGCTGTCCTTATTTGCCTCTCAGCCTCCTTGGGCTCCTCTCTCCTTCTGAGCTGCCTCCTGCCCCCAGGACCAGGCCTGGTGGTCTCTGATCCGTGCCTCCTAACTGCTCTTTGCAGGTGCAAGCGAAGAGCTGAGATCACCCCTGCAGCCCGCTGACCAAACTCAGACACACCATGCATCTCTCTTGCACAGGTCTACACTGAAAACCTTCCCTTCTCACTGTGAAACAAAAGGACTGCCTTTCGCCAAAGGAAGGGAAAGCAACAGCTCAGCGAGGGGGTTAAGAAGAAGGTGAGAGAAATCTCTTGGTCTGTGATACAGCGAGAGAGCCAGCCCGAGGAGAAAAGTACTAGTCTTTTTTTTTCCATTTTTTTCGAGCCAGGGGCAGGAGATAAAAGAGAGGCTGTGCTGGTACCATCATTTTTCCCTTCGCCGTTTTAACCCCCAGATTTATAGACATCAGGGAATTAGAATCACTTTATGCATCTCCAGCCTGGATTTCTGCGCCTTCCCCCTCCTCATCACAGTCACACAGCCCAGGGCCTGAAAGTTCCAGCTGCTTTAGGTAGCTCTGAAGCCCCTCGCACAGACCAGGCAGCAGAGCAGCTGCTCAAGGAGACGACTGCAGGATGGCTGGCAGGATGGTCTTTCCAAACACATACAGTGCATGAAGGTCTACACTCGTGACTGAGAGGTTGGTTTTGCACCCTGTCAACTTGCTACTAAAGTGATGTGGTACTAAAGCCACTCCCTTTGGGGAGTAGGATGACGGGAGAGTGGAGTGGTCACCAAAGAAGAGCCTTGGGTGTCAGGGCACAGGAAGGCGCCTGTGTGAGGCTTAGGTAGATGCATGGCCTACGTGATGATGACTGAAATGCTGTCTGGTGTTAAGGGAAACGTATTAAATGGAGAAAAACTAAACTAAAGCCATGTGTGGTTGTGCAAAAGCAGTACCAATTGAACTGCTTTACATTTACAGCTAATTACCATGCAGCACAATAATGATTTTATCATTTTTGTCAGATTGACTTTGCTATAAATTTAAATGCAGACATAAATTCTAAATACTCAGGCCTTGTAATTTACTGTTTTTAAACAATTATTTACTGAATCCCTTCTATATGCTGGACACCAAACTATGTATTGGAAATAAAAATAAGACTGAAACTTGCTAAAAGACTGGATCTTAAAAGGTCTCATCACAAGAAAAAAACATTTTGTACAAAAAAGCACACTAAGACAATCCCTGCTCCCATGAGGCCCACAGTCTTGTTGAGGAGGAGACAGCACCCAACAAACGTGAAGCATCAGTGTAGGTGTAAATGACGGCAAGGACATGAGGCAGTACCAACACCAGGCCCAGGAAGTCAGGCAAGGCTTCGATAAAGAGATGTCAGAGCTGATTACTGAGGAACCAGGAGAGTTGCCCATCCTTCCCCAGAGGGAGGAAGAGTTAGAGGAAGAACTCTTAGGCAACAGGAAGAGGAAGTGCACTGAGCTCAGAAACGAAACACCGTGTAGAGAGTCCAAGGAGCTGCTGCGTCGGAACTAATGTGGGAGGAGTCCCGAGATGGTGAGGCTAGTGAGGCAGGGAGGAACCAACCAAAATCAAGGATCACACTAAGGAGTCTGAGACCTAAATGGTGACAGGAAACCACTGCAGGACTTCAAAAAGCAGAATGACATGATCAGATCTACATTTCAGGTCAGATTTCGTTTTACCAGAGAGCGAAGCAGAGGTCACAGTTGGAGACACGCAGGGCAGTTGAAGCCCATTGTGATGATTTAGGTCACAGATGTTGGGGGCTCAGGTTAGGCTACGAAGGACAGAGACCTGGATGGGCTTGAGAAATAGCCAACAGGTACAATGAAGCATCTCTGTGACTGACTAGGTAGAGGAGAGAGGGGGTTGGAGATGGATTTCAACTTAGGCCAATGTAACTACTGAGCTGGAGAAGAGAGGAACAGAGGCAGTTTGGTGGGTTTCTGTCTTGAGTTTTCCTTTTGTTGATTTTCAAGGGGACAGGAAAGCATTAGAAATTATGAGTTCCCTCTTGACAAACTGAGTTTTACATGTCTCAGGGGCTTCCAAATGGAGATCTCTGATAGGTAACAGAGCATACATGTCTGAAGCTAAGGAGGAGATCTCAGCTTAGATGTATATTTGGGAGACGGCACTTTCTATCAGTTGAAGCCATCAGAGAGGGAGAGAAGGCAGCCAACATCAGCAGCCTATGGAAATCCAAAATTTATGGGATAAGCCGATTAAGAACAAATTAAGAAAAAAAGGTAGAAGAAAAGCAGGAAGGCATATGATCACAAAAATCAAGGGAAGATAATATTTTAAGAGGGTGCAAACAGTCAAAGCCAAATGCAACATAGTGTGCACTGGTACAGCCATTTTAGAGAACAATTCAGTTTAAGCAAGAAAAATGTTAATATGTGTGTCCAATGAGACAATTAAAGGATAGTTTGTATAAGTGAAAAAAGGACATGAAGTAAATATCCAAAAACAGAGAATTAAATGGAATATGATAGTCTGACCCTACCGAATATTTCACAGAAGTCAAAGAAAACAAAGTACATCTATAAGGAAAAGACTTTAAGAAATGTTAAGTACAAAAAAGAGCAAGTTACACAACAATATAGACACAGTGATAGCAGTTATTTTTAATGTATTTCTCTATGTATACACAGTTGTAAGAAAAGCTATAGATGGCACAGTCCTGGTGGCCTGGCAGTAAAGTTCAGTGTGCTCCACTTCAGCAGCCCAGGTTCAGTTCTCGGGCACAGACCTACACCACTTGTCTGTCAGTGGCCATGCTGTGGCAGCAGCTCACATACAAAAAGAGGAAGATCAGCGGATGTTAGTTCAGGGCACATCTTCCTCAGCAAAATAAAAAAAAAAAAAAGGAAAAGAAAAGCTATAGAAAAAGTTTGGAAGAATGTACACCCAGCTTAAGTCCAATAGTTAACCCTGTGAAGAAAGCTGGTATTTGTTTGGGTCTGTGGACAAAGGGGCCTTTTGCTTGATTTGTATCATTTGAGTTTTTTTACAATGAAAATGTTTCCATGTAATAGTTGTATAATAAAACATATTTTTAAAATACCATCGAGATCAAGTAAAATTAAAATTGAAGAATATCCATTAAAAAATATCAATTTAACTTATCAATTTAGTAACTTTAATAAGCATAGGTTTGGAAGACTAAAGGGAACAGAAGATAGATAACGTTGAATTGAGAGAAAATGGCAAGAAAAGTAGTATTACAGAACATAAAACAGAGAAAGCCTGGTAATGGATAGGAAGAAAAAGAAGTGAAGGGAGGATTTTTATGAGAGAGAAAAGAAAAATGATCTTCTCAGGAAGCCTGGTTGCTAAGAGTTTAAAAAAAGACTAGAGGTCACAATGCTAAGCGGAGGTCATAAGATGCAGCATCTGCTCTGGGGGGGCGTAAGAACAGCAAGGCTCGGAGCAGCATGAGGAATTAACTGAGGAGTCAGAGCAAGAGACTCGGGTGAGAAAAAGGACAGAGCCAGCTCAACCAGCATCCCAGGCTCACAGCCAGCAGGCAGGAGGGAAAGGTGCACAGAATTCGCAAACTGTCCCCTGGTGGCAGCAGATGAAAGCTCCTGCCGGAGGAGGAATGTCTGAAGAACCTGCCGGCAGGTACGAGCTAGAACCAGCACAACGAGCTAACACACTGCCTGTACAGGAGCACCACCAGCACTGGCTGTGCAACTTAGGGACCGGCAGGCGTTCGCCGTGGACCGCTGAGAAGGCGGACATGGACCCGGAGCCAGCAGAGCAGGTGCACCGCCCACACCCTCACTCCACAAAGGAGCAGAGAGGACGCAGTGTCGCTTACCTAGACCTGACACAGCTCGGCACGTTCGCCGTGGACCAGTCAGAAGGTGGACACGGACCCAGAATCTGCAGAGCTCGTGCACCGCCCTTGCCCTCACTCCACGAAGGTGTCGCTTAACTAGACCTCACACAGCTCAGAGAATTCCTGTTAAGTATGAACAACAGGAACCACTTGGGAGTAGGATAAAAGTAGAAATCTCTTTTGAAACCAGGATGGGATGTCCCAAAATGCCTCTGTTCTCAAGGAAAACAATTACCTCTTGGTGGTCATGCTCTTCTGGAAAATTCTTAGAGGGGCGATGAGTGCTAACAACAAACCACAACTTCCTAGGAGGCTAGCTCACCCAGAACAACGTGGCCGCTGCCAAAAGGTGCCTCCTGGCCCAAAGCCGCTCCTACAGCGCTGCTCAGAGTCAGTGAAAGCACAGGTGATAAACCCAGGCTTAGGGTGGTCCCGAGGTGCAAACAACCCCAAGCCTCAGGTAAGTGCTCTGCGCCCTTTAAAGGACCAGGCACAGCAAAACTCCATTTCATTCAGGGGCAGGGCGGGGGCAGCGGGACAGGACAGCACAAAAGCTGGAAGGGAAAGGCTGAGAATTTTCCGGGTGCAGCGTCTGGAGGCATGACGACTGACCCCATGCAGGAGACCATCATTTGGGGGCTGCGTTTTGCCCAGCCTATGTAAATTACCACAGGACCAAGGTGAACCCCATGTGGAGAGCTCTCACCGCAGGAGCCCTCTCTGCAGCAGAGGCAGACTCCTCCTCTGGCTTATCCTGCAGGCCGCCTTCTGAGCATCAGGAGAGAACAGCCAGCTCCGATCGTTTGAACACGGAGCATCAACCAGCACCTGAAACAAGGACAGTAAGGTAAATCTGCGCTGAAAATACACTCTCAGACACAGCGTGCACAGGGAAGCTACGTAAACCCGTGACAAAAACCGCAAATACATATGGACATTTCCCTAGTAGCTGAAAATACACCATGGTAAATCCTTCTTTATGACATTTGTTCACTAACACTTTTCAGAAAAATGTCCTGTGCACTCTCAGTGCTTGGTTTTTTGGGAGGAGAGCGAATGGGAGGACTAAAAGACTACTAACATTTCACATTCTTGACAACTACAGTAAAAACTTTTACAAAAGTTACTCATTTGAAACAGACATTACTACTAGTACTCCTGAATTCTCAACATTTTTAAAAATGTTTCAACTTCAGTTTCCTGAAATGCTCCTTTTCTTTACCTGTCATACTCTGATACGAAATGTTAGCAAATTAAAGCAATACAGGGCAATTGTGTGTACGGACCCCAATCACAGCTTATCTTTTCCTGAGAATCTCTGAGGTACTGGGAAATAAAAACATTCTGTAGTCCCCAATCCCACAGTGGCTGCTTCCTCTGAGCCATGCTGACCACCCAGTGAAAACCGCATCCATGCTCCCATTATCAGTTTCCCATGGCGCTGAGAAATGGCATCCAGCCACTTCTGGAAGCAGGTGGAAAACAAGAGGCAACCTAATGGTGGCATACTGAGAGACATCAGCGCGTCACAACGTCATGAAGGCACCTTGTCAAAAGTTTCAGGCTGGGCGTCCCCCACGTCTCTGCCGTCCGACTGAGATACTTTAATCCCATTCACCAAAGGCTGTGGGATGAAAGATTCCAAGGTCTGCATCAGCCACTTCAACCTCAAATGATCGTATTCGTTGCAGTGAAGATAACCTAAAGGATTAAAAGTTTTAATATGAATGCAGAGACACTGTTAAATTTCCACTTTTGATCAAATAAATTTCAGAAAGAAATCAGCTCACCCCAATTATGCAGAAATAGGACTCAGAGGTAAACATCATGATTATTTTATGCTTTAAAAGCAGAAACACACACACACACAGCATAAAACATGCACAGCAGTCAGGCCGGCACAGTCTCTCAAAGGCTCTCACCATCTACTCACTCAAATCTAATTTTGTGAGGCAAAAACCTTTAGAGAATTATGGATTCCTAAAGATATGCCATACAACCAATTCCTCAGACCCATTCTCCCCTACAGCTCTTAAGAGTAGACGATCTATTCGATCATCTATCGAGCTCCTTCCAGGACAGAAGGCCTTCATTTTAAATAAAGGCAGGCATGTGGAATGTGGAAAAAGCACGTGCAGTGCTCCTGGCTCTGTGGTTCAGACAGACAGGCTCTAATGATGAGCTAAGAGACTTGTGGGGGAGTTCCTCAGCCCTCCTCAAGAGCCTCAGTTTCCTCACCTGTACAATGGGGACTGCACCTAGTGAAGGGCTCAGAACACACCACCCCAAATACGCCGCTCTGGTACACTGATTATTTTGAGTTAAAGATACCTGAATAACAGCAAACACAGGAATGGCATTTGACCTTCCTTTCTCCTCCTGAAAGCAGGAGATGGACTCCCATGGGAAAGATACCCTTCCTATTCCAGAGGAAAGAAACATTCTTTAGTTTTTTTTTTATGTCTTTCTTTTGGGGGCAGGGGGGAGGAAGATTGATTGGCCCTGAACTAACATCTGCTGCCAATCTTCCTTTTTTTTTTCTTTCTCCCCAAAGCCCCAGTACGTAGTTGTATATCCTAGTTGTAGGTCATTCTGGTTCTTCTACGTGGGACACCACCACAGCATGGACTGACGAGCAGTGTGTAGGTCTGCACCCAGGATCCCAACATGCGAACCCTGGGCCACTAAAGTGGACATGTGAACTTCACCATTCAGCCAGGGCTGGCTCCAAAAGATTCTTATCACCAGAGACAGGGAGTCAAGGCCAAGAGAAATCCATACAAACAGACCTTGCTAAAAATAACTCTTCCTTTCTTCTCCCCATCTGTTTCAGTTACTTTTCCACAAGTGGCACTGTTTGTTCAACCTGGTATATGAGCACTGAGGCCTAGCTACTTCTTCGGGTCTTCATTTTCCTGGGGCGACTCCCCTAACTGGTAAAATTTTATTAAATAAAATTTGTATGCTTTCCTCCTGTTACTCTGTTTTATGTCAGTCCCAGCTGGAAACCCTAAGAGGACAGAGGAGAAATTTTACCTCCCCTATACTAGCTACCTTACAAAGTGGTTGCTAAGATTCAATGCGATCCTTCAGTAACATATCTGGCATAGTACTGTAAAGCAGTGACTACAAATGTTTATAATAATTACTAACAATTCTTGTGTCTTTATCTTGTGCCAGGCATAGTCCTAAGACTTTCCATGTAGCAACATATCTGACCCTCATAAGCCCATGGCGCAGAGGCCTTCAGTAATACTCCTGTTCTACTGATGGAGACTCGGGCCAAGAGTGAAGTGCTTGGCCAGGTTCACAGGGCAGGAAGCCCAGACCTGAGTCCAGAGCCTACCTCTCACCACAGACACATGGCCCCTCGGCAGACAGGGCACCTCACTCCCTCATAAGACAGTCTTCTTTTCCTTTATTTAAACATATAGTTATTTATTTATAAATATTTACATACTTCTTACATAATAAAATTACATACAATATGTGTTTACAAAATATATACCTAAATACAAGCATATTTTTTAAAATGCATGAAAGTATAAAGGAAGAATATCAAAAATTACCTGAAACCCACCGTCTTCAGGTAACCACCATTTAACATTTTGATAAACAATCATACCATATCTCTTCAAGCATATAAGCCACACATAAAATTTATATAAATGCAATTTTATTTTTCTAGTATCACTTTTTTTTTTAGATATGCTTTTTTTGGTGAGGAAGATTCGCCCTGAGCTAGCATCTGTTGCACATCTGTTTTGGTTTTCCTCCCCAAAGCCACACAGTGCATAGCTGTATATCCTAGTTGCAAGTCCTTCTAGTTCTTCTACAGGGGATGCCGCCACAGCATGGCTTGATGAGCAGTGTGTAGGTCCACACCCAGAAACTGAACCAGTGAACCCAAGGCCACTGAAGCGGAACGTGTGACCTTAACAACTACACCACCGGGTCAGCCCTTGAAGTATCAGTTTTTCACCTCATTCTTCAACCGCCCCCTTCACCAACTGCCCAACTATCCCATCAAAAGAAACCTCTACTATCAACCTGACATATATGTGCTTATATGATTATATGCCCAAGATTACAGTTACACAGTTCTCTGCTTCCTTACTCTTCACTTATCCCAACACTTCAAAGGAAACACCACCATGTCAACTGGCACAGAGACACATAGTCTCTAAAGGTGCTAACAGTACGTGCAGTGGTGTCCTCTGCTCAACCATTGCCAGGGGCTGGGGCTCACACTGCTGTCACTGACAGCAGCAGTAGCTGAACATCTTTCTACAGCTGTCCTGTCATCTGTGCTTTATTATTATGGGACATTACCAGAGGAGCAGCAAGGTCTGAGTAGGGGAACATTTAGTTTTAGCAAGTACAACTGCCTTGTCCCTCCACCAAACTCCTGCAGAAGTAAGCGCTGTTGGTCTGATACGGGACGTGATACTGGAGCACAGCCCTTCATTTCTCACACAATGGAGCATCTCTGAGACTGCCTATTTGCTGTTAAGTTTCACTTTCCTGTCAACTGCCTATTCTTACCCTTTGCCCTTTTCTACCTATTGCACTATTTATACTTTTCTTATTAAGGTGAGACCTATTTCCATAGTATAGGTATTAACCCTTTATCTGCCATCTGATTTGCAAATGTTTCCTAAACTGTCTTCTGAATTTGTAGATCTTTTTTAATACATAAGTTTCACAATTTTTTGTAGTCAATCATATCACTTTTATAATTTCTAGGTTTTCTGGTCTTATTTAAGGTGGTCTTTTCAACGTAAACATTCATGCAGGCCACATTTGGCATCACCCTACACAGAACAGGAACCGCCAGTGGCCAAGAGGGCAGGCTGACATCCTCTTTCCTAGAAGGCCTGTGGTGGCTCACACAGCTGGTAACTCAGTACGAGAAGTTGAGACTCACATTGGGCAGGTGCAGGAGCCGTTCTGGCCTAAAAGCCTCATGTCCCACAGGAGCCAACACCTCTTCTAACAACTGCACAGGCACAGCATCCAGGGTCCCCACAGGAACATCCCGATTACAGTGCTTCGCTGCACTCAGGAAGACCCCAAGCAAGGTCTCAAGGGGTTAATTGGTCTTTCTTTCAGGGCACGTGCATTTTACCAATCAGAATCATTTTTATCACATGCAACGTTGCCTAGAAACACAGTGACAGTCTCTGTCAGGTTACCAGGGAAACAAGCTAGAGAACTAACTGAAGATGAAATTCTAACGTCAAGGGGGAAAAAAATCTCTGTAAACCCTTTGCTCAAATACATATACATATGTATGACCGTATGAGTGTGTATATACATCTACGTATCTATACGTATCTATACATACGGTGCTGTTGTCTCTGATCGTCTATCCACTGGTAAAAACTTTCAATGACTTCCCATCATCCACTGAATAAAATTCAAACACCTAGCCTTTAATTTCAGGTCTGTGACAGGGAGGCCTCAAGACAACCTTTCAATTTCAACCTCCCACCATCTCACCAACACGCTCTGTGCTCCAGCAGATGTGGCTGACGAGCCCACTTCTCAGCCACTCTGCACCTCACCTCCGGCGTGTGCCATATTCCACCTGGTGCGAGAGGTGTTCATGCACACTGCTTCCTCCCTACCGCCCGGCCCACGTCTCCACACGGAAGAGGGTCAGGAGATGCAGCAGTTTTGTTAGGGGCAAAGAAGCAGAAAACCAGCTTCAAGCTGCATTTGCTTAGGAAGTGCGCTTCTTAATTTAGTTCACGTTTCTCTCAGGTGCTTTTGGGAGATTCGCTGATGTGGCTGTGGAGACAAGCGTGGCTGCAGGGCAGGCAGGCCCACCCCAGTATCTGATCAGCCTTGTGGAGCCCCGGCTCCAGGTGAATCAGCTCTGGGAGGCTCCACTCAGCAGGCTCCAGCTCTGCCTTCTAATCTGCCTTTTCAAGAAGTGATGAACGTGGACATGCAAGTTCCTCAGGTTAGGCACGTGCTCCCAAGTGAAAGGCTGGCTTCAGTGCTCAATTCACTGTCTAGGTTTCCACTCTTTCAGATGCTGACCACTGAGCACTTGGAGATCGTTGATGCATTTAGAAAGGTTTTGTTGGGCGGGCCCCGTGGCTGAGTGGTTAAAGTTCCACATGCTCCACTTCGGTGGCCCAGGTTCACGGGTTTGGATCCTGGGCTCAGACCTACTCAACTCACCGGCCACCCTGTGGCAGTGTCCCACATACAAAAAAGGAGAGGAAGATGGGCACAGATGTTAGCTCAGGGCTAATCTTCCTCAGCAAAAAGAAAACTTTTTTTTGGTTTTCCCTTAACATTAGATCCTACATATTTTAGTGGTTTCAGCAGGAGGCTGGGTTAGGATACCCAGCTGGTCATACCAGAGGACACAGAAGTCTTATTATGTCCACATCCCTTCCAGCTCCACACCCAACATCCCATGCCTTGCAGAGAGCCTGTGCTCATTAAATACAGCTGACAACTGAAACACAGCCTTATAATAAAAAACATTTAAATCGCTAAAACTGAAAATCAGGGCAGCTTTTCATTAAATTATAGCTTTAGTCAAGATTCTCCATTCAGCATTTTAAAATATCTCTCAGCTGAAATATAGGTTTGTGCTACATATTGTGGTTTGGCCTAGATATAGATTTTATTTGAAATAGTTTTAGATTGGTTAAACTTTTAAAAATATGCAATATAAAGCATCACAATCCAAGTTTCAGATATACACTAAGACCTACTACATTGAGGTAGAATTAATGTCATGTTTAAATTGTCAAAAATAAACTAAATCTTGATATCTTTTCATCTAAGCAGGAAAGAGGTGAATTTAATAAAAACTAAGCCTTGAAAAAGTCATTGAAGCTTTACATCGACAGATGACAGCCTTTGGTCCACGGAAAGAAACTAAAACTGGCAGTTTCATTCATTAATTTATTTTGGTACACATAACTTAGTAAAAACAATTCTGCCTACTTTCAGTTCTGCTAATTATTCCTTGGAGCCAAAAGCCATAATGATGATTGTTTTATGTCCCTCAGTGCAAAAATTGGAACAATGACACTGTCCATCCACTATAAGTACTATGAAGGCTAATGGTAAGGTTCCCTGAATCACCTGGAAGCAATGTTACAGATTCACAGAACAAACTGTTAACAACAAACTGACAACAGATTAAACACAACAGGTCAAAATACACTTGAGTGTACCACTTCAAGGTTCTGTCTGCTAAGCACCTGTATGGACTGGGCACAGCGCTCCAGCTGCAGAGAGAGGTAAGTGGGAGCCTGTCCCATGCTCAGCAAGCTCTCTGAGGGAGGAATCTGGGCAGGTCAGCAGCTGCATAACACTGGAGCCTGCAGAACAGTCAGGAGCACACGACTGAAATCTGAGTTCAGACCCCAGCTCTGCCACCTAGCTAGGGCAATTTAGTTAACTCTCTGTGTCTCAGTTTCAACTCTAAAGTGGGGATAATAATGCCCAACTAAGAGGGTTGCAGAGCTAAATAAGATCATGTACACCAGTGATAGTCACACTGGGTTCTTCAGAGTCCTAGGACTTCAGAAAGATGTTTGTCTGGAAATACAACATAAGATGGGGAAGCAGACTACTAAAAAGTGTTTGAAAAACAAAGATTTAGGCAATGTGATTAATACAGTCCTTGTACATCCGAAGTGTTCCAAAATGGTCACTGTTTTTATTCTTACCAAAAAGGAGGGGCACCTAACGCAGGGAGCTCTGGGAAGGCAGTCCAGGAGGGTTGATTCCTGAGTGAGAACCTGAAGAATGGGAAGGAAGTCGCAGGGAGAGAAGGGGAAAGCAGTTCCTGTCAGTGAGAGCAGCAGGAGGAAGACAAAAGCAACTCAGGAGAGAAATGGTCTTTCTGATCTTTTCCACTACCAGAGCAGACTCGATGTCCACAAGGGATTACTGGCAACAAAGAGAATTTCACACCTGGAGGGATCTGGCTCTCAGCAAGAAAGCAGATCAACCCTAAAGACTCCACCAAAAACTGTTAGAATTAATAAATGCATTCAGTAAAGTGACAGGACACCAAGTCAACACAGAGAAATGTGTGGCGTTTCTATACACTAAAAGTGAACGATCAGAAAGAAAAACTAAGAAAACAATCTCATTTACAATTGGATCAAAGAGAATAAAATACCTATGAACAAATTTAACCAAGAAGTTGAGGGGGCTGGCCCCCTGGCCGAGTGGTGAAGATCACGTGCTCCCATTCGGTGGCCCAGGGTTTTGTCGTTCAGATCCTGGGCACAGACATGGCACTGCTCATCAGGCCACACTGAGGTGGCATCCCACATAGCACCAGAAGGACCTGTGATTAGAATATACAACTATGTACTAAGGGGCTTTGGGGAGAAGAAGAAGAAGAAGAAGAAGAAAAAAAGAAAATGATTGGCAACAGATGTTAGCTCAGGTGCCAATCTTTAAAAAAAAGACGCTGAAAGACCTGTACACTGAAAACTACAAGACACTGATGAAAGCACTGAAGATGACACAAATAAATAACGAACAAGTGGGACTACATCAGACTAAAAAGCTTCTGCACAGCAAAGGAAACCATCAACAGATGAAAGGGCTACCCACAGAAGGGGAGAAGATATTTGTAAATCATACATCCAATAAGGGGCTAATACCCAAAATACATAAAGAACTCATACAACTCAACAACAAAAACCAAACAACTCAATTAAAAAATGGGCAGAGGACCTAAATAGACATTTTTCCAATGAAAATATACAAATGGCCAACAGGTAAAAGATAGTCAACATCGCTAATCAGGGAAATGTAAATCAAAACCACAAGGAGATATTACCTCAGACCTGTCAGAATGGCTATTATCAAAAAGACAAGAAATAAGTCTTGGTGAGGATGTGGAGAAAAAGGAACCCTCATGCACTGTTGGTGGGAACTGGTGCAGCCAGTATGGAAAACAGTATGGAGGTTCCTCAAAAAATTAAACACAGAACTATCATATGATCCAGCTATTCCACTCCTGGGTATTTATCCAAAGAACAGGAAAACACTAATTCGAAAAGATATGTACACTCCTGTGTTCACTGTGGCGTTATTTACAATAGCCAAGATACAGAAACAACGTAAGTGTCCATCGATGGATGAATGGATAAAGATGTGGTATACAGATGTATACACACACATAAGCACACAATGGAATACTACTCAGCCATGAAAAAGAGTGAAATCTTGCCATTTGCAACAACATTGGTGAACCTCGAGGATATCATGCTAAGTGAAATAAGTCAGACAGAGAAAGACAAATGTCACACAGTGTCACTCATTTGCAGAATCTAAAAAACAAACAAAACAAAATTAAACTCATAGATACAGAGAACTTGGTGGTCACCAGAGGAAGGGGGTTGGGGGGTGGGCGAAAGCGGTGAAGAGGGTCAGTTGCAGGGTGACAGATGGTGACTAGACTTACGGGGATAACCACTTTGTAGTGAATACAGATGTCAAATTATAATGTTGTACACCTGAAACTTACATTTAAAATAAAGAGAAAGCTGATTGAGCCACTCCACCATGCTCGGTCATTCTTAGTACATTAATGCTTTCTCATTTAGAATCAGACTTGTTTGCTCTTTTTCAAGACCAGGAGACCAGGACATTACAAGGCTATGTTGACAAAAACAAAACAAAACCATGACCAACAATCCATCACTGTGCTAACAGGTGCAAGCAAAAGAGAAGTAGATTAATGTTTTTAATCATCCTAAAATATGAGCTTTTTAATCATTCAAAGCTGTAAGCCTCTTGGCCCAGAATAAAGGCCAGAACTGATCTACAGAATCTGGAGTATAAACGAACATTTAGTGCAGGCATCAATCTAAGTTTTGCTTATAGAAACTTTTCTAGCGTTGCCTCTGCATTCTAAATTCAGGCACTATAGCTAACCTACTTTCGGCTTTAAGCATCAGTGTGAAGGCACGTGTACTTCTTAGTAAGCCATTATCATTAGCCTGCTTGTACGAAAAGCTACTTTACTTGGAATCCTGCCTGGCCTTCACTGCCCTTCACAGCAAGATTCTCCTCCACTTCAAACTCCTGGAGTACATCGGTTTGCCTCTGGACTCCTAACCAAACCACCTTTCCTACTATAAGCATGTGAAATATTTAGTCTAGTAATGAGGATAATTTAGGATTAAAATGCCCTCTCTTCAAAATGGTACCCAAATTTGACAAATTTACCTTTTACAACACTAAAAATTCTATATTGAAAATTGAGTTAGCAGCCAAAATAAGAATACTGTCAAAGAACAAAGGAGTGAAAGTAAAAACAAACACTCCTGATAATACATGATTCCATAAAACTTCAGCTCAAATAATAAAAATAACCTTAAAAAATAATCTCTCTTGCTGTGATTTCTTATATAAAAAGGACAGCAAGTTTCAGTAACAGAGTTTAAACCACAACTCTAAACACACAGTATGTTATCTCCTGAATATATGGTTGATAACATATTTGTACCAATGCCTCAACAACCGGATTCACAGTCCTTGTAGAAGCTTTTGTAATCTACTCCCACAGGCAATGCTCTCAAATGAAGATATAAATTAGCAATCTTCAGACTGGGATTTGCCTGCCCTGGGGAGACGAACAACATTCTCAGGGATGAGCCAGCTCACATGGTTCTAGAAGATTAATTTTCAGGTCCTCAACTTCCTAAGGAGAACAGCTCTGGTCAGGTGGTCAGGGATCTCCTTTCACAACGGCCTGTCCCCAACTTTACAAACGAGGAGCAAGCTCCCCCCGTCCAGAATCTTAGCACAGCATTCGTGCTGGGTGTGGAAACCACCAACGCACCAGACAAGGCAGGTCAGCACGTCAGTGCCGAGCTGGGAAAGGAATGAGTCAGACAACTGGAGACAATGGCTTTTGCGACAGACGGTTTCCAATGCCTTGCCATCCACAAAATCAAAACTAGACCCAAAGAGTGCGCACCTAGTGACCATTACAGTTACACTTGATGAAAGATATCTATGTGATTTGTGTGTAAGTCGGGAGCTTAAAGAACTCGTGAAACTCCCACAGCACAATTCCCACCGTTTCCATCTTCTCATCTATGTGAACAACAGCACCTGTATTTATAAAAACAAAACCATCACACAGGCCAAAAAAGCCCAGACAGAACTGATGCTGAACCCTGTCTCTTGGAGCCATAACCAATATTCATCTAGGGAAACCTAATAATTAAAAAAAGTCTCATCGTCTCACTAAGAAAATAATTTACAACGAATGTCAACTCATTACCTTTAACAAATATTTATAAAAATGCACATTACATTTCATCGTTTTTGTACTACTAACAATAGTAACGATAACTCACTTCCAAAGAACTTTTCAAATCTTTTAACTTACATTGTCCAATACCATATCGATTTGCCACAGATGGCTGTGAGCTTGAACGTGGCTGGTCCAAACCGAAATGTGCTATAAGTGTAAAATACCAATTTTGAAAACTTTGTAATAAAAATACCTCATTAATAATTTTTATTTTGGTTACATGTTGAAATAATACTTTGGATGTATGGGGTTATAATGTATTATTAAAATTAATTTCACCTCTTTCCATTTTACTTGAGACTACTCAAAAATTTTAAAGTATATATGTACTTCACATTATATTTGTATTGGACAGAACTGCCTTAGAATCTTATGGTCCATTGACACAAAAAATGATTTTAAATGTCTATGTTTTTGTTGCATAGAAGTATGACAAGGATATCAACACAGGACTCTCAAGTAAAAACGTAACAATAAAATTAGAAAATCTTTGCCATTGGCTTAATAAAATTCAAATTATCTGACAGATTTGTGTTCACAAAATGTTGTAGTTTTGTTCCCAATATCTGTTAAAATTAAGTAGCTGAAAAAAAAACATTGTTTACACTGTTTTCCTCAGCTAAAACGTCCACTCTTCTCCACACTGTCCTAGCCTCCAGCCTGCAAACTCAGTGTCACATTTCTCCCCACACACATCAAGAGTACTTGCAGCACTGCCAACTGCTGCGGGAAAGCACGCTACCTGGGTCCGCACACTGCAGCAGGGCGATCGACTTGCCCCCGGGAGCAGCACACAGATCCAGAACCTTCTCCCCATCCCTCAACTCCAGAGCCAGCACTGGGAGGAGAGAGGCCGCATTCAGGAGATAGTATTTTTTTAGGTTTCCAACTTGGTGTCTTTCTGAAGGCATCCTGCCCGCAGTTGTGCTAAGGTAACACTTCATGGATTTAGGACAGTGGGGTAAAGATCCTTGGAAGACGGTGCGATAGCCCCTCAAACGTAAAGCCTCTTCCAGGTTGAAAGGATAATTGAATCGGTTTAGAAGGACAGCATACTGCCAGCAGCAGGGCGATGTTAGTATGTCCCTAGAAACAGAAACAGAACAAATATTATTATCACTCCCACTGACGCAACTCTGCAACTTAGTGGAGTGAATGTGGTCCTCATTTTCCACTTCACTCTCCTGTAACCTGCAGGGCAAGGGTCATACTGCTGACTCCTTTTGCCTTAGCTCCAATGCAGCTCAACTTAGCACTGTGATGATCCTGTCTTTAAAAGTTTGGTATTTTCGAGTGAGGTCAGCATCATGGTGGAGTAAACTTTCCCAGTAATCCTCCCCCTCCAACATACAATGAAAAAACATTCTTACTCCAACAGAACACATACAAACACAACACAAAAAACATCGAAGAGACCCATGCAGCCATACCAGTGGGCAGAGTGGCTGGAGCCCCCCTTGGAGGAGGTGGAATGGGGTAAGACAAAACTTTGCCACCCCCCAAAGCCTGCGATCCAGGACTGCCAGAGGCCTCCGAGAGGGAAGGAATGGGGGAGGGGATGTTCATTTGCGGGAACAACAAGCATCCTGGAGGGCCCTCACAGCCTAGAGGGAAGCCCTCTATGGGGGCGAGAGCTTTCATGAGGGGTGACCTTATCAAGCCAACACCCCAGGAGAGCAGAGGAAGAAAACTCCTAGAGCACACAGGAGAAAGCACCCCTCCCCCCACCTGCCCACCAGGCTCCACCGTGCTGAAGGCACAGGGCTGATAACACGTGGCTCTCCACCCCTAAGAAGTGGCGATACGCAGTAACTGCAACCAAATAACACCAGGGTGCATAAAAAGAGCCACCAACATTACATCAAATCTCCAGACCAGAGAGAAAATGACGATTACCCAGGATTCAGTCCTGAGGACACAGAAATATGTGATCTAAGTGACAATGAATTCAAAATAGCAATCATCAAAAAACTCAATGAGGTAAAAGAGAATGTAAAGAAACAATTCAACGAGTTCAGGAGCTACTTCACAAAAGAGATTGAAACTATAAAGAAGAATCAATCAGAAATATTGGAGATGAAAGTCACAATGGAAGAGAGAAAACAAAATATGGATTCCCTGAATGCTGGTGTGAACATTATAGAGGAGTGAATCAGCATAATTGAACACAGACATGTTGAAATGCTCCAGACAGAGGAGAGAGAACTAAGACTAAAAACAAATGAAGAAAGTCTCTGAGAACTATCTGACTCAATGAGGAAATACAACATAAGAATTATAGGTATTCAAGAAGGAGATGAGAAGGAGAATGCAGCAGAAAGTGTGTTCAAAGTAATAACAGCAGAGAACTTCCAAAACGTGGGGAAGGAGATGGAAATCCATGTGAAAGAGGTTTCCAGATCTCCTAGATACGTCAGTGTAAAAAAGACCTACTGCAAGGCATATAGTAGTAAAACTAGCAAAAAAGAATGACAAAGAAAGTATACTAAGGGCAGCAAGGCAGAAAAAAATAACCTACAAAGGAACCCCTATCAGGCTTTCAGTGGATTTCTCTGCAGAAACCTTACAGGCTAGGAGAGAATGGAATGACATATTCAAATCCTTGAAAGACAAAAATTTTCAGCCAAGAGTGCTTTATCCAGCAAAAATATCCCTCAGATACAATGGAGAAATAAAAACTTTCCCAGATAGACAAAAGCTAAGGGACTTCATAGCCACGAGATGACCCAACAAGAGATCCTCAAGAAGGCCCTCATACCTGGGGGGAAAAAAACAGGGAGAAAGGAGTTACAAAGCACGGAGTAAGGAGATAAATTGGAAGACAATCAGATTGGGATAGCAAATAACTATAGCATTAAAGACAAAGAGAATGAAAACACCAACAATAAAGATAATCTGGTCATTTTAACCACAAACTCACAATACAAGATAGAATAAGATGTGAGAAAAACAACTTAGGAGGGGAAGAGGAAAGGGACTGAATCGGTTTAGATTAAGGAAACAAGAGGCCATCAGAAAATGGACTATCTTATACATGATATTCTGAATGCAAACCTCATGGTAACCACTAAACAAAAAAGCAAAACAGAGATACAATAAATAAGAAGAAAATAAAGAAATATATCATAAAAAAAGTACATAATTCAATGGGTAGAGCAAAACACATGGGACGAGAAACAAAGGATGCAGGAGAACTGGAAACGAAGAGATAAAATGGCAGTGTTAAGCCCTCATATATTGATAACCTCCCTAAACATAAATGGATTGAATTCTCCAATAAAAAAACACAGAGTGGCAAGATAGATTAAAGAACAAGACCCAACAAAATGCTGCCTTCAGGAAACACATCTCAGCTCCAATGACAAACACAGGCTCAGCATGAAAGGGTGGAAGATGATACTCCAAGCTAATGGGAAACAAAAGAAAGCAGATGCTGCGGTACTTACGTCAGACAAAGCAAACTTCAAGATAAGACAGGTAAAGAAAGACAAAGAGAGGCAGTATATAATGACCAAAGGGACATTCCATCAAGAAGAAATAACACTCATAAATATCTATGCACCCAACACAGGAGTACCAAAATTCATAAAGCAACCATTAATAAACCTAAAAGAAGACATTAATAATAACACAATAATAGTGGGGGACCTTAACACCCCACTCACATCAATGGATAGATCATCCAGACAGAAAAGCAACAAGGAAACAGTGGAATTAAATGAAAAGCTAAACCAGTTGGACTTAATAGACATACACAGAACACTCCACCAAAAAACAGCAGAATACACATTCTTCTCAAGTGTACATGGAACATTCTCAAGGATAGACCATATGCTGGGAAACAAGGCAAGCCTCAATAAATTTAAGAAAATTGAAATAATAACAAGCATCTTTTCTGATCACAATGCTATAAAGCTAGAAATTACGAGAAAAAAGCTGAGAAAGGGACAAAGATGTGGAGACTAAACAACATGCTATTGAACAAGTAACGGATCCTTGAAAAGATTAAAGGAGAAATCAAAAATTATCTGGAGACAAATGAAATTGAAAACATAGTATACCAACTCATATGGGATGCAGCAAAAGCCATATTAAGAAGGAAATTCATTGCAATACAGGATCACCTTAACAAACAAGAAAAATTCCAAGTGAGCAACCTCAAATTCCACCTAACGGAATTAGAAAAAGAATAAACAAAGCCCAAAGTCAGCAGAAGGAGAGATATAATAAAAATCAAAGCAGAAATAAATGTTATTGCAACGAAAAAGGAAGTAGAAAGGATCAAAGAAACAAAAAGCTGGTTCTTTGAGAAGATAAATAAAATTGACAAACCCCTAGCAAGACTTAGAAAGAAAAAAAGAGAAAAGTTCAGATAAATAAAATTAGAAACGAAAGAGGAGGAATAACAACGGATACCATAGAAATAAAATGGATTATAAGAGAATACTATGAAAAACTATATGCCAACAGAATGGATAATCTAGAGGAAATGGATAAATTATTACGCTCTTACAACCTCCCAAAGTTGAATCAATAGGAAACAGACAATCTGAATAGACCAAGCACAAGGAAAGAAATTGAAACAGTAATCAAAAGCATACCAAAGAATAAAAGCTCAGGATCAGACAGCTGCCCTGGGGAATCCTACCAAACTTTCAGAGAGGACTTAATACCTATCTGCTCAAGCTATTCCAAAAAATTAGGGAAGATGGAACACTTCCTAACACATTTTACAAAGCCAACATCACTCTGATACCAAAGCCTGACAAGGACAACACAAAAAAGGAAAACTGCAGGCCAATATCGCTGATGAACATAGATGCAAAAATCCTCAACAAAATTTTGGCAACCCAAATACAGCAACACATCAAAAGGATCATACATCATGATCAAGTGGGATTCATACCAGGGACACAGGGATGGTTCAACATCTGCAAATCAGTCAGTGTGATACACCACGCCAACAAACTGAGGAATAAAAACCACATGCTCATCTGAATAGATGCTGAGAAAGCATTTGACAAGATCCAACAGCCATTTATGATAAAAACTCTTAACAAAATGGGGATAGAAGGAAATCACCTCAACATAATAAAGGCCATATATGACAAACCCACAGCCAACATCACGCTCAATGGGCAAAACCTGAAGGCCATACCTCTGCGAACAGGAATAAGATAAGGATGCCTACTATCACCACTCTTATTCAACATAGCACTGGAGGTTTTGGCCAGAGCAATTAGGCAAGAGAAAGAACAAAAGGAGTCCAAATAGGGAGTGAAGAAGTGAAACTCTCGCTGTTTGCAGATGAGATGATCTTATATATAGAAAACCCTAAAGAATCCATCAGAAAACTAACAGAAATAATTAACAACTACAGTAAAGTTGTGGGGTACAAAATCAACTTACAGAAATCAGCTGCATTTCCATGTTCTAATAATGAACTTACAGAAAGAGAACTCAAGAATACAATTACATTTGCAACCACGACTAAAAGAATAAAGTACCTAGGAATAAATTTAACCAAGGAGGTGAAGGACTTATACAATGAAAACTACAAGACATTACTGAAAGAAACTGATAATGACATAAAGAGATGGAAAGAGATCCCATGCACGTGGACTGGAAGAATAAACATAGTTAAAATGTCCATACTAGCCAAAGCAATCTACAGATTCAATGCAATCCCTATCAGAATCCCAATGACACTCTTCACGGAAATAGAACAAAGAATCCTAAAATTCATATGGGGCAACCAAAGACTCCAAATTGCAAAAGCAATACTGAGAAAAAAGAACTAAGTTGGAAATATCACAATCCCTGATTTCAAAATATACTACAAAGCCATAGTGGTCAAAACGGCATGGTACTGGTAGAAAAACAGGCACACAGATCAATGGAACAGAACTGAAAGCCCGGAAATAAAACTGCACATCTACGGACAGCTAATCTTTGACAAAGGTGCCAAGAACAGACAATGGAGAAAAGACAGTTTCTTCAATAAATGTTGTTGGGAAAAGTGGACCACCACATGCAAAAGAATGAAGATAGACCATTATCTCACGCCATACACACAAATAAACTCA